TATAGGGTGCAGCTGTGTGATTTACCAAGTCAATTGACTGTACCCACTCTCTTGTCTTCTGACGCATATATGATACCCATTGCTACCCCCACCCCCTGCCACCGCAAACAATTTGAATTTTTTTTTTACTCTTGTGTTAGTCGGTTGTAGTGCCTAAGGTCTTGGAAGATTGTCTGTTCTCTCAGATGATGAAGGTTTAGGTTGGAAACCTGTGCATAGTTTCCTGGGAGTAAGTCCAACTGAATATGACGTATTGCTTCTATGTTTAAAAAAAATGCTTCTATGGTGTGTTTTTTAAAAAAGCATTGGCTTACAAAGTAGCAGAGCTGTGGGAAAAGACAAATACTTTTAGAATGCAGCTTTCAGAATGAATTTTAAAGGCTTGGATGTGCTGTTTCTCTTCAGGCACAGGTGGGGGTGCTATAAAACAAGCACACGGAAAAACTACTTCCAAGAGACGCATAGAAGAAATAGAAAAGGCAAATGGAAAAGAATGGAAAAAAAATTCTTCAAGAAAAGGATTGTGTCATTTAAGATAATTGCTTTCCCTCAGTGCCCTTCACAGATTGCTGCACAAGTTGCCTTTTACAGCCATTTCTGCCATCCACACAAATCAAAGGGGACTATAAGATGAGTGAAATTAGTGGAGCGTTGCTTTTGTGTGTGTTAAGAAAGCATCTCATCTATTTTTCTTCCTCCAAGCTGCTAGTCCTGTGTCAGTGAGGAGTCAGATGGCTGCTGGGCAAAATGTTCCATTTAAAAACAGAAAGAGTTGTGGATGTTTGAGTTGACATTAGACCTTTTGTAAAAACACTGTCAGGCAATTTGGGAAATCTGGCTTCATGCAACAGAGGGCAAGGCATGGAAGGTTTTCAGAGGATGACACAGTGGACTCTAAATATGATAGTTCATTCATGATCAGACAACACTGTATGAAGCAGGGGCATTTATTAGCGGGTGGGCCAGGGAGCCCAAGTCTTGGGTCTTGTTGGAAGTGTTGGAGTGCAACTTGGCTTGTATTGCTCTGAGAGGAAAGAAGAATAGAGAGGGGAACCTCTAAGCTTCCTAAACTGTTTCACTGCCCTTTGCCTGGGCTGATCTTCCTTCAGATGTTAGATTGAGACTTCTTAGGGTTGCTGACCTCATTTCCTGCTCCTCCCTTCTTCATCCCACCATGAGAGAAGAATCATCTGGCTTTTCTCTGCATCTACAGCTTCATTAGATGCAGCTAGGATCTCTTTACTATCAAGCATGTATTTCCTATAATAAACTTAGTTTTCGTATTTTTGCAGACTGAAAATCACAGTGTGGTTGCTTCCAAGGTGGTGTTGTTGTTTAGTTGTGTCCGACTCTTCGTGACCCCATGGACCAGAGCACGCCAGACACTCCTGTCTTCCACTGCCTCCCGCAGTTTGGTCAAACTCATGCTGGTAGCTTCGAGAACACTATCCAACCATCTCATCCTCTGCCGTCCCCTTCTCCTTGTGCCCTCCATCTTTCCCAACATCAGGTTCTTTTCCAGGGAGTCTTCTCTTCTCATGAGGTGGCCAAAGTATTGGTGTCTCAGCTTCAGGATCTGTCCTTCCAGTGAGCACTCAGGGCTGATTTCCTTCAGAATGGATAGGTTTGATCTTCTTGCAGTCCATGGGCCTCTCAAGAGTCTCCTCCAGCACCATAATTCAAAAGCATCAATTCTTCGGCGATCATCTTTCTTTATGGTCCAGCTCTCACAAAAGTTCAGGCCTCTGCTGATGCATATGAACTCCATATGCTATCAGGTATTTTGCAGTGGTCCTCTCAGCTCATAACCACCCCTTTTTAAACTATGTTTACAGTGTGGCAGGGAAGGTTATAAAACCCAGTGCTGGTGAAAAACAGCCATCCGCCATATTAGTTTTGCTCAGAGGTCTAAATTTGCATATGCAAATTTGCGTGTGGGCTTTATACCCCGAGTCCTATAAATTCCCAGCAATGAGTCTGGTATGAAGAAGGCCTGGTGATAGTACACACATCTTTGGACAACCCCATTGTTTCCCAGGGACCATCACCATCACCCTCTGTCACCCAATTGGCATTGTTCCAAGTCATTGTAAATGGTCACTTAATTGGAGTGTCGTCGTTGTCTACCGTTGCTGCTGTCACCAGATGAGTCCACGAGGGAGGACCACCATGGTAGGAGGGGGCCGATCAGTCAGCATCTTTTACCAAATACCTCTTCAAACCTGGAGTTAGCCCTAAGATGAGCCATGACTAATTCTATCAGTGGGAGGAATCTGGTGAGGAACTCCCCACCACCACCACCAAAAATCGTAGAGATCAGTAAAGGGCAACTCATGGTCTTTGGACCAGATCTTTCATATTGTCAATGAATTTGGGTTGAAAGGTATTTAAAAGATTGTCTTGTAAGAAAACAACAGAACCATGCTTTCAAATTGGAATAAATAGAGTTCTATATTGGCCCTGACCCCAGAGTCCATTAGCAATCAAGGCTCAGAGTCAGAGGCTGCAGAGTCTCTAAGAAGCCAGACCAGGTGCATGGCTCCACGTCTGCTGCTGGACATTAGGAGATCATTGACACAGAGCCTGCGACAGACGGACAGGACTCCCCAGAAGAACCTCACATTGCCTGGGCAGAGACTTTAATAAAGTTCGGTCTGTTCCCAACCATTGCTGGAGCAAGTTGCTTGCTTAGAGCTGTCCATGGTCCTGAACCTTTTGACCTGCCTTGCCCCATGGGTTCTGACATCAGACCTGAACAGGACAATAACTTGTTATTACTCCCTGCTTTTGGATTATGCATGGACTGTGGCACAATCCCATTAAAGGTTTATTCATAAAGAAACTGGAGCAACACTGATTTGAGAAGGAGTTATGTCATGCATGTAGATTTGATCACACAATGATGGAAGGAAAAGAAGAAGATGCCTTGTAGTGAGTCAGATCATTGGCCCATTTAACTCAGTATTGGCTACACTGATTGGCATTCTTTACCAGTCCTTCCTGGGGATGGCAAGGATTGAGAGCAGGTGCTTACCATTGACCCTATGGTCCTCTAGTACGTGTTCCCAGCCTCCTAAAAGTAGCATCACCAGTTCTAGAGAAAAGAGCCTTCCAGAGAAAGAGCAGGGAGTAAGTGCAAGCAGTATGGGGAAAGAAACTGTTGGCATCTGCCACATATTCTGAAGGTCAAAAAGCCCTTATTGCTATACCCTTCTTGTTGGAAAAGCAGGATTCTCTCCCATAGCACTAACAGGATTCTCTCCCATAGCGCTCTCTCTCTCTCTCTCTCTCTCTCTCTCTCTCTCTCTCTCTGTGTGTGTCAATCATTTGATTTTTAATTGCTTATCCCCATTTTTTCCAAAGACTACTAAGGAACCCTTGATTCATAAATGTCACCTCTTGGCAATATAGCAAAACAATCTTTTGAAGAATGGGTAGGAGTCGGGACTTTGCAATCTATTGAGATCATGAATATTTTATCTAAAACCTTTGCTGCAGACTGACAGCACAGCTGGAGCACAGGAAAGGCGAGTAATCTCCTTACTCAGAAGTCTGCCAAGGTTTCGGAATTTCCATTACGTCATAATTCTGAGAATCCCTAGAAAGTCCAGCTTGTTGGCAAGTCACAGTAGTGGCTCCAGCTAAACCGGGCTATGATATTGCGGATCAACAGGGGAGGAAGGAAAAAGAGGCATGTGACTGTAGTGTGTGTAAGGAGTAATGGTGGGGCTGACAAGTCCTATGTTCCTTATAGCTAAATATTTTGAATAAATAAATTTAAGTGTGGTTCTAAATATGCTTTATCTTGAACCTTGTGTATATCCATATTTAAAGCTGCCATTAGTATCACCTTGGCTTAGAAAAATTGGCAAGATCCAACGGTTTTGTAGTAGGATGGAGAGTTTTTTCTGTTTGTGACTGGGGAAGATACAGAGGTCACAGTCCAAAAGGAGTGGCAACTTTCCTTCTGGAAAAAAAAAATGTCGGCTAACATAAGTTGCAGAAAACAGTTTTTCAAATGGACAAGCCCAGCATTTTAGATTACTCAATCTGCCTTGACCTAGTTTCTCTGGCCTCGTTTTCTCTCTTGATACAAACAAGATTCTGTTGCATTTTTAATTGCAATAAATGTGTTTACATGAAAAGAACACAGCTTGCCAGGGGAGAAGGTGACCTACTTTCTTCTTGCAAAAAAAGAAGTGTATATCTAAAAAAAATAAATCCATATTGTTGTGAGTTGGCAGTCTTGATTGTGGTGAATGGGTGGGTGTCTGATGTGTGCTAGGACTTTGAAACAGAAGAATCTAAATGTCTTCTTAGACTGGAGATGTTCTGTTGATGGACAGGAATCCAGCCTTCAGATGGCAACACCTCCCAGAGCTAAGAGAAAGGTTTGGCACCTGTACAATGCAACTGTGTTGGAGAAGCAGGAAGATTGCAATTTGAATTTGGGAAAGATAGTGTGAGTTTTCACTCTGGAGGTTGCAGAAAGTGGGGTGGGGTGTGCATTTGTCTCTGTAAACTTAGGAGCCAACTCCTAGGGGCTGGGGTCTCTTCAACCTCACCCCCCCTAAAATATTTGAGGGCCCCTTCCAAAGTTGATGGATGTTGCCATTCAAATAGTATGCGTGTGCTGTGTCTTGTGATTGATTATGCAGGGAGAAGTTTCCCTGGCCCCTCCCCAATATTTTATTCGTGTTGGCACCTTGGTATGTAAATAAAGCAAATGCTACAAAAGAACCCTAAATCTCCAGTTTTCTATCATCCAAAAGAAAGCCAAGCTCTTTAGCATAGCCCTTGGATCTCAGAGAAAATAGGGAGCACTTAATAATGATATTCATTTCCCTTGTTTTCATTCCTCCAGTTGTGTAACTATACTGTGTTGTTTTTTGTTCTTTGGAGTCATACAAGTAACAGTGATATATGTCACAATGACTCATATAGGGTGACCACACTTAATTCTACATTTTGCATTACCATGGCACCCTTAGAAGCCGAGGGTTTGACTTCCCAGTGCAGACTAGAAGCATGTTGGATGGTGTGTAATTTACATAATTTCACAAGGGTTTCACCAAATTAGCTGTGCCCTACTTAGAAATGCCTCTTTCTATTTATCTAGATAATGAATAATAATATGGAATATGCTATTGTTCTGCATAAATATGGCTGATGTTTTTGTGGAAAACTTGTGCAAACCTAACCCAGGGTAATGGAAACACACGCCAGCTAGCTCCTTTCAGTCTGTGTATTGATCACATTTGCAGTAAATCACACTTTTAAAGCCCTGCCAAGTACTTCTCATCATTCTTTCATAGGTCTTCTTAATGTAGAGAAACAAATATTTAACTTGCGTTTACTTACATGTTATTGCCTAAATTGGAATCGTAAAAGCTAAATTGAAAGGAGTAAGGCACTTCTCTTTCTAACCATAAATATTAATCAAGGTATCAAGCAACAAACAACCATATTTCTAGACTGTTTCTTGGGGACTCTGATGAGGCACGGATTAGTTTTTAAAACGATCACAGGAAATGTACCTTCATGTAGAAATGTTATGCAGAGACTGTAAAATTTCCCCCGGTGGATTAATGAACAGTGTGCTACTTGGGTCTTATTCATAGATTCATTCTAGAAAAGTGGATGATCAGTCTCACATGAAATTAAGCTCATATAAATGATATGCCATGTTTTTATGATTATGGATGCTGTATTTAATTTGAGTTAACAAATACTTTTGTAGGGAGTGTTTTAGAAATAGAGGTTGCGGACTTCCGGGGTGGCGCCATCGGCAATGGCGGATTCCCTCTGAACTGGACGGACCAGCTCCACGGGAATCGGGTCTTTTCCGCTACGGCGAAGCGGGGACCCATTCAGAAATCACAGGTGGATGAAGCCTGTGACCATGGGACTCGGCGGGCACCCTTAGCGCCCCCCCAACCCGCAAAAGAACCCTTTAACGGGCTCCGGAGCGAAGAGGGGGAAGTGGCGCAGTGCTGAGAGTCAACTGCTTCTTCCGTGGAGCGAAGCCGCACAGCCGTTGCCGGAGAGCGCTGCCTTTTTCCTGGGACAATCTGGCTTCTAAAATAATCACCCGTGAGTACCTAAACTCGGACAATTGGACTCTAAATAAGGACTTGTGAGCAGAAAGGAAAATTGGACTTAAAAGTTTACCTTAATTTGGCGCTGAAACGGGAAGGTCTAAACAGGAAGTCAGCCTTCCGTTTCTTTGTAGATAGATTAAAGCAAAGACATGGCAAACTAGAGCTCAGAAAATCGCCTGTAAAAGATTAACTTTCATCATTTAAAATTGTTGAACCCCCTTCGGAAGCAGGAGAAGAGGGGGGATCTTTTCGGACTGTTTAAACCTGCAGAAGTGAGGGTAAAGTAAAGTAACTTTCCACCGTCCTGATCCTGGAGCGGGATGTTAGGACTGACGTTTTTTTAAAGCTCATTGACCAGAGACAACGTTTTTGACAGATAGCTATAAGAAGAGAAACTTTGACTCCATTGTTCCCCTTCGCTTCTTAAAGGAACAAATATTGACAAAATATCTGAAAAAGGAAACTTTTGTTGCTAGACTTGTCTTTAAAAGAAAGAACAAATAGAAGTTTTCCCCCAGAGGGAGACTGTGAAACTGTAACCAACTTCGGGGAGCTGGCAGCTGTTACAGATTACAATCGTGGGAACAGACATCTGACCTTGCAGGACAATGTATTCAGAAGCTCTGTTGTGTGCTTTCTATAAAACAAATGCCCTACTGGAACAGCTACATGAGAAGACGAATTTAATGGCTGATTCGATTAGAAATTTTGAACAGGCAGTGGGAAGATATGTGGAGCCCACCCAGGAATTAAATCAGGAGTGTGCCCTGACAGAACAGGCCCAACAGGAACATGAGCTTTTGGATTTGACAAATGAACTTGGAAAAAGCCAGATTTGGAAAGAAAAAGTTTGGTTTGGTTTGGAAATGGGGGGCTGGATAGACCCCCCTATGCAGGGATGTTTGGACTTTTCAAGTCTGGCAATGGGCCGTGAGATGTCTGGGATTGTGGGGGCTCCTAATTTTGGAGGGATTTTGAAACATGTTCTTAAATACCACATGGAATTTAGTGTGGATTATGGAAAAGGGGCTGATCTGTCGAGAAGGGTCAAAAATATTGTTAAGCTGGAGTTCCCACGAGTGAAACGAGCAGGAGACAAGGGAAAATACAGTTACAAATATGAAGAAGAGCTGCGGAAGGGACATGGAAGAGACTTAAGGGCCTCGGATATAAGGTTACCAGGTTAATGCGCTAGATCGATGGGATAATAAGGACTGACAAAACCCGGGACCAGGAGGAAGGGACGCTGGATGAAGATTGGATTGTTTTTATTTCTTTTTCTACTACTAGGATTGTTTTATAAAATTTATGAATGTTAGAAAAATGTTGGAATGAAATTACTTGGCTTTAGTAAAAATGTTTAAAGAATTATGTAAGAATATTATGGTTATGAGAAGTTGGTAAAAATAAGATTTAAGTTTTAAGTTTCAAGGTTTTTTATAGTAAGATAAGATTAAAATAGTTTAAGGTAATGTAATGACAGAATTTTATGAAATATGGAAAGGATTTGCTGCAACAATTAACAACTAGGATACAAAAAAAGGGAGGAGGAGGAGGTCAAAGAAAGAAGGTAATGACAGTTGAGGATTTGAGAATAATGGATTTGTTTTTAAATGTTTGCGGTGTATTTTTGTTTTTTTTTTGAATTTGTATTGTTGGATGTGGTTTGTGTTTTTCTTTGTTCTTTCTTTGTTCTTTTTCTACTTTGTTTTCTTTTGTAACTCTAAATTTTCCCCCCCAATAAATATTTTTTAAAAAAAATAGAAATAGAGTTTGCATCTTTCATTGCCCACAAGGACAATGTGAAACAAAATGCATCGGGCGTGTTATATCTCTTAAAGCTTCCAATATATTTTATCACCATTTTGGGTCTTTCTTTCTTTTTCTTTTCTTGCCCTTATTCCAGAGTAAACACCTGGGGTGGAGGCTGTTGCAGCAAAAATGCACACACGCGCACACTTAGCAAAATACTATAGAAGCGGAGCAGCAGTGTTGTCAAGATGTGTTAAAAGCATACTAACTTAGGATATCTGTTCCACTTGTGCAACACAGTGTTGGATATAACCCAACAGGATTATTCCCTTCACATGGCACAGTTTGCTCCCCTAGGATTATCTTCAGAAAAAAGCAATTCCGCTTTCAAGTGAATTCCATAAAGTTTTAACAAACTAAGGCGGCAACCCGAAACCCCAGTTACCTGGGGGTAATTCACACTGAATTCAATGGGGCTTACTTCTGAGTAGGCATGGTTATGATCACCCTATAACTCTTACAAATACTTGGGTTTGATATTTAGCCAAGATAGTGAGGTTGGGTGTTTTTCTTGTCAGTCTTCCTTGTTTTCTTGCCATTTTTTATCCTAGCCTTTGCTTCAGCACTGCTAAAATGCCCTTAAAATATATATACTGCTGTAACCATTTTGTACCACTGGTGAATTGGCACCCTGTTAAATGCCTTTTCCTGTAAATGACTGTGTACGGAGAAACTTGCAACGTGTGCTACATTGGATGATCTATTGCCTACCTCAGCGTTTTGTGCTTTAAGACTGTGGCGTAGAACAAAAGATATGGGAAATCGTATGGGAACAAGAAGTGTGTGCGTATTAAGGAAATACCATACGAAAAAAATGAACTTGCATTGCAGGAAAGACCAGACTTGCTTGCATGTCTACAAGCAATCAAGACACACACACACAAATGAATAAAGACTGCCATGCATAATAGGTCTGGAAACAAATGATCAAGAATGAATGAGGGCAAATTTGAGTTGTAGAAAATTAGCATACTTAATGTCTAGAAACACAACAAACTGCAGGACCACATTGTCCAGTTTGGGGCAAAAAAAATCAAATTTGCTGCTCTTTATTGAAAGTTAGGCCTCATTTCCATACGCAGCTCTACCATTTTGGTGGACATTTCATTAGCATAATCATGACTGCTTAGATTACTGGTAAGCAACAGTAAAATCCTGAAATAACCTAAATAAAGCATTGTTGTCACAAGGGTGCTTGGCAGATTGCTCAGATTTGACAAAAGTTGAATTCATCGAAAGGACCATGGGCAAAGATTATTATCAAGGACTTTACTTGCCCCCCCCCTATTTCCACCCGGACAATCTCCATGCACAGGGGTCCAAGAGAGCAGTGATGAGGAGAGAGTGCTTGTTTTGCTTGCATCTTCTTACAGACACCTGCCACTTCAGACATGCTGGTCCAAGATAAGCACAGACAACTGTACGAAGGAAATGCGGAATAGCCAATGGGATAGGTTGGGAATTGATGAGAATTTTGAGCTTCTGAGGCCAAGCAGTTTCACATGGGAACACGGGATTTCAGTTGTAGTAATGTAGCAGAAGATGCCTCACTGAAACCAAATGAGCAAGTTTACTGTGACTTTAAGACCCATTTCAATGGGAATGACAGAGCTGTCTTCATTTCAACAATTCGTTTTGCTTTCCTGCTATTTCATGGGTTGTTTCCCCCCCTCCCCAAACAAACTAACAAACTGAGCAATAGAACAATTGCCCTTATTCCCTTGTTTCCACAACAAAAAGGATTTTATCTGGTACCTTTGCAATAATTTACATTGGCCTTGAGGGGATGTTGCATGAGAAAAATAAATAAATCCAAGTGTGTATCTGTACTCTGCCACTACACACCCACTTGCCTTCTCCGTTAGATCATTGCATGCTAGAAAAAAAATATATTGTTTTGAAAACTCTCAAAATAAGATTAGTATTTTTTTTTAAATGACAGTGTGGAAAGCCATGACACGTAGCATTAGCCTGAGAAGAGCATTCATCACGAAACTCCAATTCATCATGAGACTTCTCAGCTTCTTTTCAAACTGTGGGCTTATCTGTCTCCCCCACATGCTATTTCTTCACTCCTTCCTGATCTTCTGAACAGCTTTCTGGTGTCATGAACTCCGTATGTCATCCAAATGGTTAGAATTCATTTTTGTCTCTGTGCGTGTGTAAAAGAGAGAGAGAGAAAGGTGTCGGTTGCAAGTGACTTTCAGCCTGATGCAATATTTAGTAGCTCCAAAGAACATAGGAAACCTTTACAACGAAAATCCCAAGCCATTGTTTTCCTTGACCCGAGTAGCAAACCAAACTGCTGGGCATGTATGTTTTTGAGAGGCATATTGCTGAGATATTAACATATTTACAGATTCAACAAACTGAGTAGATTGAAAATAATATTTTCTAACACGTGTCTTACATTTCAAAAACAATAATGATGTTTGGATATATTTAGCCACCATACTGGCTATTTTGATTGTAGAATCCAAAGGGATCTCTTGCAGCGTCTTGTTTTCATGTTCTTACTTCCAATGATGATTTTGGTGGTGTGTGTGTGGGAATTATGGAGTTTCAGAACACCCAGAGACCATCCTACCTGGCAGTTATCAGAAGTGAGAGTATTGATTGTACTAAGACTAGGTAGATCCATGTTGATTCATCCCCACTCATTCATGAAGTCCACTTGGTGACCTTGGAAAAGTCCTTCTTTCTCAACCTAACGTACCTACAGAGGATAAAATAGGGTGGGGTGGGAGGGGACCATTTTCACCACCCTGAGCTCCTTGGAGGAAAGGTGGAATATACATTTGACAAACAAAGAATATTGTGCATCCTACTAAGCCACAGTTGTCTTCTTTTTTTAGTATAATTTTATATGTTGAAGAGCTGAACTCTGATGTATGGGACTGAATCATGGTGAAATGGATCAAATTAGGGTTGTTGTCTTTTAAATTGCTTCTATTAAATATTTTTTTGGGTTACAAAAGTACATACAGCATCTCTGCTTTCAATTCGTAGAGTCCTTTCTACAGTTCAGTTATTTTTGATATGAGACACTAGAGCAGGGCTTTCCAAGGTGGGGAGAGAAGGGGGGTAGTAAACTTTCATTCTTTTACACAGTGTATGATCAAGGCTTTTGTGTCAGTGTCACATGGGTAAGTTCTATTTCCATTCATTTATTAGGGGGTTTTTTTGGTTGTGAGAGAGATTTGGGGGCCCAGGGCCCGATTGGTTTCTGTCAGTTCACCGCAGTGAGTTTTGTTTGCATGTGTGTGAGGGAGGGGGTTGCTAGGACAAGTTATGCTTTTGGTGGGTTCTTGTTGTTGTCTTGTGTATGCCATAAAGGGAAGCCACACTGGGGTGAAGGCATCCTCTTTTGTTTGTCCCCATGCTAGTGGATCAAGCTGTTGTTGTTGTTGTTATTTAGTCGTGTCCGACTCTTCGTGACCCTGTGGACCAGAGCACGCCAGGCACTCCTGTCTTCTACTGCCTCCCACAGTTTGGTCAAACTCATGGTGGTAGCTTCGAGAACACTGTCCAACCATCTCGTCCTCTGTCGTCCCCTTCTCCTTGTGCCCTCCATCTTTCCCAACATCAGGGTCTTTTCCAGGGAGTCTTCTCTTCTCTTGAGGTGGCCAAAGTATTGGAGCCTCAGCTTCAGGATCTGTAGTGGATCAAGCTAGGTTTGAATTAACTCTTAAACTCTTGTGTGGGGAACCTGTGGCCTTCCAGATGTTTCTCAACTCCAATAGCCTCAGCTAACATTGTCAAGTATAATGGAAGCTGCAATCCAACAACATCTGGAGGGCCACCTCTGTCTTAAATAAAGGCTGGTAAATAAAAGTACTAGTACTGAGGTACAAGAACGCCCTGGTACCCGATTAAAATGTTCCCTGCTTCCATCATAGTTATAAAATTTATTTAAGAGTTTTCTGCTTAATCCTTGAACATTCCTAAAAATACTCAATAAGCATGTGTTTTCTGTGGAAGAAGTAGAATAGCTTCAAGGAGATAATGTCAAAAACATTTACACACATTAGAAGGCCCAAAATCACACTCTGGATTTTGAAACAAAGTGAATTCCAAAATGATTTCAACCTGTATATCGATGGAGCCCTATATAGCTCGTTTCTTCAGTCTGGGCTGGAGTGACTTGACCTTTCAGTTTATATACGAGCGCTTGACTTGAAATGAAGATAACAGCTAGAACTGGCATATTGCGTTGCCATACCAGGAAATGCTAGTGTATGTCCTTCCACATAATTAAGTTGCCAGATGAACGCTGGTGCCCTTTTCTTAACATGAAGAGAGGGAGAGATGTAGGGGAGTATAGCACCACATACCAGAGAGAAAGAAGTAGCATAAGTACGTTACCTTCCTTCATTCTCATGGCTTGAACCCCATTTTTTAAAAAACTAAGAAGTGTATTTTACACTAGGGTTCTAATCCGTCTAGGACAGGGGTCAGCAAACCGGTCCACTGTCCCTCAGACCTTGTGTGGGACCAGACTATATTTTGAAAAATAAAAATAAAAAATGAATGAATTCCTGTGCCCCACAAATAACCCAGAGATGCATTTTAAATAAAAGGACACATTCTACTCATGTAAAAGCACGCTGATTCCCGGACCGTCTGCAGGCCGGATTTAGAAGGCGATTGGGCCGGATCCGTCCCTCGGGCCTTAGTTTGCCTACCCTTGGTCTAGGAGCTCTGTGCATGCTCCTAGCAGGAAGCTTCTGCATTTGTATTAAGAGCTGGATGGGCAGACATGTACTGTGCACAGTGTTCCACTCACCAATTCAGTAGTCAGAAATGCATGTACAGAGCTCCTTTCTAAAAGGTAAAATCTGGCTGTTTGGAGGAAGGGTGTGTGTGTGGCGAATTAATCCCCCTGCTCACGCTTCCCCACCAAATATCTGATCAGTGGGATTTTAGCTTTGGGGGAGGGGGCGGGGCTCCATTGCGCATGAGTTTAGAGGGACGCGGGTGGCGCTGTGGGTTAAACCACAGAGCCTAGGACTTGCCAATCAGAAGGTTGGCGGTTCAAATCCCCATGACAGGGTGAGCTCCCGTTGCTCGGTCCCTGCTCCTGCCAACCTAGCAGTTCAAAAGCATGTCAAAGTGCAAGTAGATAAATAGGTACCACTCCGGTGGGAAGGTAAACGGCGTTTCCGTACACTGCTCTGGTTCGCCAGAAGCAGCTTAGTCATGCTGGCCACATGACCCGGAAGCTGTACGCCGGCTCCCTCGGCCAATAAAATGAGATCAGCGCCGCAACCCCAGAGCCGGTCATGACTAGACCTAATGGTCAGGGGCCCCTTTACCTTTAAGACAGAATAATTAATTTCACATTTCAATTCCACAATCTGAGATGGAAAACTTGGACTCTTGGAAGTAAAATTGGTGGATATTTCATTATTACATACAGAGGCAAATTTAACACCAGCAACTGACACATCTAGTAAGGAAGGAAATACTGGACATGTAAGATCAAAAAGTATATACCAGCTCCAATATGTGTATTTGCTCACGGTCCTGTGTTATTCAATGAGAACAGTCATCCCAGCTGCAACGGCTTGAGTGTTTTCGGAATCTTTGTCATTATTTTATTTTTTACCATAATTAATTCTTACAAATATGTTGTAAACAGACTGAACGTCTGGATTCTTTTTGATTACAACTCAGGATAACTTCAGAGTGGAAACAAAAACTGGCATGTACATAGAATTTTGTACACTTACATTTTTCAGAGCAGCCAATCAGCTTACTGTATTCTGTACATTTGACTGCAGTTCTCTGAACAATCTAGCCATAATATACACATGATACAACATACAGATATGAACTTTTCTTTTCTGTATACTTTATTTACAGGCAGAGCTGAATGCCAACATGACCCAATCAATCCCCTGAGGCGCCAGTTATAATACAAGCACTTCCATTGCAGTGGGTTTCCTAAAGAAAGGAAAATAGCAAAATAAACTAAAGCTGATTGATGGAATGGAGCCTTTGGGCTTGGTTTTCGTAGGGCATAAATTATCATATCCCCTATTCACTCAGCTCTAAGACCACGTATTATGAGCCAAATTATATTTGGATCCATTATTACTTCAAAGCCTATATTTTCAGTCTGATATCAGAAAAACAGATTGTGTTTACATGTGCAGAGCACCAGGCACCGTATTTCAACGTGTTGAACCGCAATGTCAGAGGGTTTGTTGTGAAGTTATCAAATTGGATTGAGGACTAGCCTCACCGGAATGGAAAGGGATAATTGGTGAGGGCTAATTGTCTGATTCCTAATGAAAACCCCAACCTCACTTCATAATGAAATACTGCCAAGAGGAAGTACTTTTAGTTAATTCTAAAATTCTACCTTCCAGCTTGAAGACAATGGTACCAATCTGCAGTTTTCTTACGATCATTCACTAGGAATGGACATTTACATCTTATTCTGGTAAAGTTTAACAGTGAACATATTCTAATCCGCAAACCTTTGTTGCTTATCACAGGTTGCCTTTATGAAAACCCTACAAGTATCTTTCTGGTCTCAAGCTTCTGCTGGGTACGATCCTGTATCTTTTCCACACTCTCTCGTGACTCCAAGAGATCTGGGCATATGGACCAGCTGCAGGATCAAAACCTCCACTGTAGTTTTCTGGATATGCATAGGTGCATCGCTGCGGGAACCCGTTTAAACTCTAGGTAAGAATTAATATTATTCACTAATTGTATAAATGGAGAGGGTTTGTCCTGTAAGAGTGGGCTTTTTATTTATTTTTTAAAAAGTACATACTGAGGACACAACAGCCTCCACCAGATTTTCATTCCTAAAAGGCGAAGGAGTTACTTTCGATTCAACACGGAGAGGATGACATCTGGTCATAATCTGGACATTTCAGTAGAGCAGGGTAACTACTGTTCATCTGGAGAGATGCATCGCTGGAGATGTCGGAAGGGCTGCGTCCACGAACCCAGGCATCCGGGTGGAGGAACTGGCCAGAGTAGTCAGAGCAGTTGCTAAGCCGTGGGCGGTAGAAGCCAGGATGAGGCCTGTACATCTCCTCTGCGGTATATCTCTTCATGAACAGGTAGACAGACATGACACCTGCGCTCTGGAAAGGAGAGCAAAAACAAAAGCATTGCTCGAGTTGTCGGAAGGACTGGTGTTACCGTTCTAATGTTCTGATAGGATGTGACATGCTGATGAGCAAGGCAGGCAAACCAACCATGAAATATCCCCGCTCTGGACCTTGTGGGATGCTGCTGCCTTTGCTTTTGAGGGAGGTCTATAGCTCCGTGGTACAGAAACTGCTCTGCAGGTAAAAAGGTAAAGGTAAAGGGACCCCTGACCATTAGGTCCAGTCGTGGCCGACTCTGGGGTTGCAGTGCTCATCTCGCTTTATTGGCCGAGGGAGCCGGCGTACAGCTTCCGGGTCATGTGGCCAGCATGACTAAGCTGCTTCTGGCGAACCAGGGCAGTGCACGGAAATGCCGTTTACCTTCCCGCCGGAGCGGTACCTATTTATCTACTTGCACTTTGACGTGCTTTCGAACTGCTAGGTTGGCAGGAGCAGGGACCGAGCAACGGGAGCTCACCCCGTCGTGGGGTTTTGAACCGCTGACCTTCTGATTGGCAAGTCCTAGGCTCTGTGGTTTAAACCACAGCACCACCCGCGTCCCTTTGCTTTGCAGGTAGAAGGGTCTATATTTTTTGCTTTGTAAAAAAATTTTTTTTTGCTTTGCTTTGCAGGTAGAAGGGTCTATATTCAGTCTCTGGCCACTCCCGGTAAGGCTGGGAATGTCCCCTGTTAGGAACCCTGGAGAGCATAGACAAGACTGGGCTAGATGGTCCAATAGTCTGACTCAATGTATTATTATTATTAAGATAGCTCAGTTGGTTAGGGTATGGTGCTGATAACACCAAGGTTGCAAGTTCAATCCCCCTATGGGACACCCGCACATTCTTGCATTGCAGGGGGTTGGACGAGAATGATCCCAACTCCATAAGTCTATGGTTCTTTGATTCCCCTCCTTTTTCCCTGATGGGACTCAAGGCAGCAGTGATATAAGTTAGCTTCCTTATATCATATGATGTGCCTCTGAGGGTAGGAGTGTGTTTTGGTTGTGAGGCTGCTGGGGGATTTGACATGCAGAATTTTTGCATGCATTAATACTTCAGAAATATCGCTCCCAGCTGCAGTTGTTATAACTGAACATCTTGTCCCAACGTATTATTTCAGTCTGTAGTGCAGGCGGATTTTCATTGGCTGGTAAGTCAAATGGTCTTCATCTTCTCTCTGGGAATGTGCAATCCTCCCCCTTAACTATACATTATGGCCAATACAGTGGTACCTCGGGTTACATCTGCTTCAGGTTACATCTGCTTCAGGTTACAGACTCCGCTAACCCAGAAATAGTACCTCGGGTTAAGAACTTTGCTTCAGGATGAGAACAGAAATCGTGCTCCGGTGGTGCAACGGGAGGCCCCATTAGCCAAAGTGGTGCTTTAGGCTAAGAACAGTTTCAGGTAAGAATGGACCTCCAAAATGAATTAAGCTCTTAACCCGAGGTACCACTGTACTCATTTGCCAACAGTGAAAGGACATCACAGCACGCTCTGTGGGGAACATAATCTGAGTGGTTCTTTCCTCCACTACCAGAGCACTCAAGCCACTCTTATCAAGCAAAACTGCTCCAAAGAGGAGCTGGAAGAAACCACTGGGACAACCGTGCCAATGGAAGCTGCTGCACTGGGATCAGGAGTCTTTGAGTTGGTGAAAGAAAAGCACATGTTTCGCTTCCTGTTATCCTGGTGTTACTTAAGCCATTGTGCAGAATTATATGCAACACAGGACTTCACAGGAACAGGATTTCTGCTGCTGTGTTCTATGCATAATGCTAATGCTTCTTAGCATAAATAAGTAGGCCTAGCTCACATGATTTCTCTGTGGTTCTGCTTGTGACTTGAAGGTGGTAAGCCTACAGTCCAGAAATGTACTGTGAGACCACATGCTCCTCCTGTTAATTGCACCAGGCAGTGGAGGAATGTATGGAGTTTGGGCTAAAAGGGAAACAAAATGGGATGCTCTAAAGAGACATGGGGACGCAGGTGGTGCTGCGGGTTAAACCACAGAGCCTAGGGCTTGCTGATCAGAAGGTCGGCAGTTCAAATTGCCGCGATGGGGTGAGCTCCTGTTGCTCGGTCCCTGCTCCTGCCAACCTAGCAGTTCGAAAGCACATCAAAGTGCAAGTAGATAAATAGGTAGGAAGGTAAACGGTGTTTCTGTGCGCTGCTCTGGTTCGCCAGAAGCGGCTTAGTCATGCTGGCCACATGACCCAGAAGCTGTACACCAGCTCCCTCGGCCAATAAAGCAAGATGAGCGCCACAACCCCAGAGTCGTCTGCAACTAGACCTAATGGTCAGGGGTCCCTTTACCTTTACTTAAGAGACATGGTTAATTGATTATGGGGATGCTGATGCCTGCCTGAGCAAATGTGCCCACCTTTGAGGAGGACATGCTCGTTTCTATACACTGAATGTCCCTTCTCACACCCTGTGGTCCTGTTCCACTTCTTTCCAGTGAAAGGGACAGACCTATTCCAGTGTTTTGTCACCAACTACTTTGTGATTTAAATGTAATTTAAAGAAGCAATGAATTTATAACTGGAAGAAAAGCAATCTATGAAAAACCAAGCCTGTTCGTATTTTGACCTGACAAACCCATTCTTTTTATGTGTCCCGTAACAGATAGGTACTTCCGATTTCTAAATGCATGAAGGGCTGCTTTGCAGCAGGGATGCTTGCAGCTCCACCGCCCCCTCAAGTTTACAGGTAAGGCATTCTTGTTTTTGGAGGGTGGGTTAGAATCCAAGCAAGTGACAGTGTAGGCAAGAGGGGAGCATCACCTTTGAGCAGAGGGAACAACTGATCTGTTATTTCCTACATGTGCAAACACAGGGGAGGTTGGTCCATTAGGGCACTACTCCATCGAGCTTGACATTCCCTCGGCCTGCCCTCACCTGTGTACTTCCTTACAACCAGTCTAGGAGGTGGCGCTGGCTGTCAGCTTCCTTCTCTGTGTTGCTTTTGTAAAACTTGGCAGGGAGAGGATGGGAGGAATCTGGAATTTATTGGTTATGTCAATGACTGGTGCTGGCTCCTAAAGAAAAGCCCAACTAGTATAGCATTCTGTTTTCACAGAGGCCAACCAGATGTCTCTAGAAAGCCCACAGGCAGGACATAAGTGCAGCGGCATGACCAGGCACCCCCACGATGGCTCCTGCACTGGGGCATATGAAGGAGCTGCACAAGGATTGACCCAGGAGTGGAGAGTGGGAGGTGAGTTGGTGGCAGCTTCCCCGCCCGGACTGTGGCATGCAGGGGGTGCCCTGTGTCCTGCCCCACGTGCCCACCCCAAGCAGGGTGGGGCCATCACCCTGGGCAGATTTTTGAAACGGCACAAGCTACCATCACAACAAGCTCCCTCACTTACCAAGCCGCACTGAGCCTTCAGGGCTGCGGCTGCGGTGGTGCCTCCTTCTGCTCTTGGTTGGTGAAGGGATGTCCGCCTCTGGGGCAGCTGAGAGGATGGGCGAGGAGAGTGCTGCCACTGCCCACCAAGGAGAGGCATGAGGCTTTGGCAGCTGCCCCCTCCTTTGGGAATGGGGCAGCTTTGAGCCTCTTTCTCCCTCCCCTTGTCACAGGCTCAGACCACCATGGCCTGAATGGCAGCCACCCTCCAGACTCCTTTCTGAGAGCCAGTGTGGTGTAGTGGTTAAGAGCGGTGGACTCGTAATCTGGTGAACCAGGTTTGATTCCCCACTCCTCCACATGCAGCTGCTGGGTCTGCAAGGGCCTGGCAGCATCAGAGAGCCACGGCCGCCTTGGCAGGGCGGGAGTCTAATGAGGCCCACACCCTGCCACCAGCAGGAGGTGAGGTGGGGGCTCTTTTAAACTTCTCCCTTGAGGGGGCACACAGCCACCTACCCCCTCCCCCTCCAGGGAACAGTGTGACAGACCCACACGTCCCCAGCTGAGCAGCTCGGGTGCAAGCAGGAGCTGGACTCTCTCAGCTGGGGAGCCCCTGACAGCTCCCTAAAACTTTTGGCACACTCCTCAGCTAAGCAGCGGGAGGAACATGCTTTATTGTGCCTCACTGATGCAGCTTCTTTCTTCCTCTGCTGCTATGAGGGGCAGACAGTGATGATGGCTTCACTCAGCGGTATGTTGCTGATGAAACCGCCACCGCTCCTGAGTCCTCTGCCTCCAGTGCCCGGCTGCAGCTGGTTTGTCCCTCAGTGCACTTGAGGCAGAGGCAGTTTCATCAGTGATATACTGCTGACTGAAGCCGTCATTGCGGTCTGCCCCTCATAACAGTCCTGGGTGATATACTGATATACAGTGGATGCTCAGGCTGCAAACGTGATCCATGTGGGAGGCACGTTCGCAACCCGGAGTGCCACGTCTGCGCATGTGTGGATTGTGATTCGGCGCTGAAACCCGGAAGTAACCAATTCCAAGTTTCAGTGCATCCATAACCCGAAAACGCGCAACCTGAAGCATCTGTAACCCAAGGTATGAATGTATAGCCAAAGCCTACCGCCCATGGATGTCTGGGGGTGGAACCAGCAACATGGCCCCACTTCACCTCCGGAGGCTTTGGCTGATGAATGAGGGTTATACATCATTTACTAAATTCTACTGCAAGTCAGATCAGCAGCAAAGCCTGTCTCCATGTTGGAGTGACAACAGTCTGGAGG